GTACATGTTCTGAAGTGGTCACTGAAATCTTGAGGACAGATTCCAAGAGCTTGAAATAGACAAGAACTGGTCAGAAACAAAACAAAGCTTGAATACCCCCATACACCACAACAGACCTCACAGTAAATAAATCTTCACGGTACCAGCTAAATGGAAGCAGATGAGATAGCAATCTTCTTCTGAGACCATCTAAATTTAATATAGATTTGGAATGAGGCTTAGGGTGACTTACAGTGCTTGATTTGCAACGATTCAGAAAAAGGATTTGAAGGCTAAGTAAGTTTGTGGCTACACTCAGCTGGGAGGAGCTGCTGACTCCCTCAAGGGCAGACAGGCCCTGCAGAGAGACCTTGACAAATAGGTGAGATGGGCAACCATCCACCACAAGAGGTTTAACAAGGTCAAGTGCTGGATTCTGCACCAGGGATGGAGCAATCCTGGTTCTGTCTCTAGATGAGGAAAAAAGGAGGTGGAGAGCAGCAGTGCAGATAGGGACCTGGGGGTTCCGGACAACAGGAAATTGAACAAGAGTCATTAAGCTATTAGAAAGCATCCAAAGGAGGGCCACAGGGATGGTGAAAGGTCCTGACGGGAAGCCACATGGGAAGCAACAGAGATCTGCTTGGTCTGTTCAGCCTGGAGGAGACTGAGGGGAGACCTCACTGCAGTCTTATATCTTCCTTATGAAGGAGGTGCAGGTACAGATCTCTTCACCCTCGTGACCAGTGATAGGATTCGAGGAAGTGGCATGAAGCTGCATTGAGGAAGGTTTAGGTTTGGTATCAGGAAAAAGGTTTTCCTTGCCTAGGAACAGGTTCCCTAGGTAAGTGGTTGCAGCACCAAGCCTGACAGAGTTCAGGAAGAATTTGGACAACACGCTCAGGCACACAGTGTGACTCTTGGAGTGTCCTGCACAGGGCCAGGAGTTGGACTCGATGATCCTGATGGGTCCCTTCCAACACAGCTTTCATGATCCAATGACTAAGATCTATCGAATTTACCTCTTCCCAAACAAAACTATACACTTATGATTACAGATATGTCTTACCTTAAATATATCTATGTTGAAGCTATAAATTCAGGTATTTATGTGGTTGCAAAAATCTTAACAAGATTCAGATTAGCAACAGGAATGACAATTCAAGAATTGACAATTCAGTAACAGCAAAATAAATGTTCATTATGATTTCACTCTAAACAATTTTTCAGTTTTTTTCTATTTTTATAAAGAGCATTTACAAAAGTACTAGTTAGCAGACCATACTGCCTGAGAATAGAATGTGACTTTGTTTCATACTTGAGCATTACCTAGTGAATTAAAACCTATTATTTTTATGTAAAAGCAGCAATATTATGAGACTCCCTTAGAGATACAAACACTGGTGTATCAGATAATATCTATTCTCTTGTACAATAAAGCATGAATTCAACACTGCTTTCATTGTATTACCACCATGGCAGTGTTGCAGCATTTCTGAAATTATACTTTTGTCCACATCACTATGTCAACAGACATGCCAGTCTGCTTAAACAGCTAAAACTGAATGAAATGGCTCAATCAGCTCACTTTACCTTTTGCTACTGTAATCAGAATTTTACTCTTTATTTCACAAAATAGCAGAATATAGCAGGCAGATCTTTTGGCTTAAAGAAAATTTTGATTCCTCGTCTTTCAAGTTCTCACTATGCAAAGATATAGGACATCAAGACAGAATTTGCATAGTCTTACCAAATACAAGATTTCTTCCTCAAAAGACATAAAGAAGTTGTCAAATGTTATTGCCAGCGCAGTCTATTCTAGAAGCTGATCCTTCCATTACTCTTAATTAAAAGTCTGGCTTTTTCTTCTCCCAACCACAAGCCATTTTCATTTTATAGATTGTACCAGTAAACCTTTACAAGTTATTGAGTCCTAGATTACATAAAAACCTTCAAAGGTAACACTGGCAATCCCTGTCATTCTCACACTTCACTGAGTGCAGAAGATGGGGCAGCAAGAACAGGTGCGTGCCTTCAGGACCACTGTCCTTAGCTGCTGGTGGACATAAGGATACAGCAGTGCCAAACGTTTGACTTTCTGAACGTCTGCATAAGCCACTGCCACATTCCAATCAAACCCCCTTCACTCAGCAGGCAACATTTGGAGTCTGTTCTGAACCTGACTCCCAATTACCTGCATAGCTTGGGCACACAGCTATAAACACACTAAGAGTCGTGCAAAGTTAATCATGATAGAGGTGGAACAGCCAATACAGCCATAATAGGTTGCTGCCATGCAGGAAACAAGGCAACTGAGTACCTTTCCTGGAGGCAAGGCACACACATTAAACCCAATGAGAAAGGATTGCTCCCACACAGACCAACTCAAGTGAAGAAAAGCATCACACTGCCTGTAAGACAAACAATAAGGACATCCCATTGTCTTAGACAGTATGCTAAAAGTTGTTTTCACTATTTCTTTTTCCTCAAAGAAAATGTCGGTGCAGATATAAGTGATTACACTTCACTTTAAATTTCAGCTTTCAAGAAATAGCCTGAAAATCACTGTCAGAGTACTTCTGACAAGGAGTGCTTAGGTCCAACACCTCTGAAGAGGGAGAATTACACGTCTGCTTTTCTAAAAAGGAAAAAAAAAATGATGCAGAGATGCAGTAAGAAGCTCATGAAGCTTAATAGCAAACATTACTAAAGGTACAAAACATAAAAAAATTTAAAAGTTTAAAAAGGAAATAAATAGGATAGACAAGTAACACTGCTTTTGCAGACTCTAGTGAATTGTTTCTCTAACAAAGACAAATTAGAAACACTTCTATTATGCAAACTGACACTAAAGTTTATGGTTGGGGAAGCCAGGGATTTCCTACAGTATTCCTAATAGCTGGACAACTAAACTACTTCACTGTTTACTTTATGATGCCACATTCATGATATGGCATAGCCTAAACATTTTCTTAAAAGCAAATAAGCCTTAATGAGTTAACCACATGCATGCACAAAAATCCTGCTACCTGCCAACAACCTCAGGCTCCACATTTTTTAATCATGAAATAGTTACTCCTGCCATTACATAAATATTATTACATAATATCTCCTTTGTATGCAGAATTAGAGCTACAATAAAATAGGTCCCACTATTTCAATGTTGTATCTATTAATCCCACTCATTCACTTAATAATTTGGAGCTGTAGTTGCATCAGAACACAACAGCTTGAATATGTCACATTCCTCTGTGCTTAAACAGAGAAGACAGTTAATTCTGGATTTAAAAAAAAAAACAAACAAAAAAAAAAAACCAAGCTGACAAAAAATACAACAAAATAACTGCTCTACTATAATAACTGCCTGAAGGGAAAGACACCTCTGCTATACTCTTTTATTACATGTTTTTTGTCTTGAATAAGATTTATTGTATGTGCATCAATAGATAATTTTCACCGTGCCAGTCAATAAAATATGTAGAAATACCTTAATTCCCAAGGTCAGTATTACACAGCGTTAAGTATAGAGATCACAGGCAATGATGCTTACTATGTCGAGTATCTCAAAAGCCAAGGGTTTTTTCCAATTTAATATTTAACGTATGGGCAAACTACAATACATATAAAATTAATTTTCCTAAGTATTTACTTTGTTAGAAATTTGTTCTGAGAACGTATTGTCTGCATTGGTCAGAAACACATCTGAGACGCGGGACGGCTGTAGGCACAAGGCCACACGGCGAAGAGGCAGTGAAGTGGCATGTGACATTCGGGAGTCTCGGGGGCAACATGTGGCCGGCGCTCAGGACGCTCCTCTCTGCAGTGCAGCACCGGTGCCTCCGGCCGCGCGCGATCCGTGCCGCGACACGAGCCCGCACTTCCCAAGTGCCGCACAAGTCCCGCTTGTGCCCGCGCTCAGCGGCTTCCCCTCGTCCGCTCGCCCTCTCGCAGCGAGAGCTCCCGGCAAGGGCAGGAGAGCGGCGGTGGGCACCGGGAGCGAGGGCGGCACGGGCCGCTCCCGGTGTTTGCACAGCCGCGCGGCTCTCCCGGGGCAGCCCCGCACAAAGCCCCGGCGGCCCGCAGCCCCCGCGGCCACCGGCGGGCGCGGTGCGGCACCCGGGGCAGGTCCCCGCTCCTCGCCGCTGCCCTGCCGCCGCCGCGGCCGCCGCTGGCAGGTGAGACGCGCCGCAGCGGCGGCGCCGGGCGCGGAGAGGGGGGGCGCGACCCAGCCACAAAGAGCGGGAGCGGAGTGGGCGGCGGCGGGGCCGGCGCCAGCGCGACCCGCGGCGCCGCAGCGGGGGGACGTCCCCTCCCGCCCGTCGGTGGCAGCGGCGGGGGTCATCCCTTACCTGCAGGGGTGGCGCCGAAGACTCTCACGACGGGCACCCGTTTGGCCGGGGCCTCTCGGAAGCGGGACTGGCAGGGGTCCAGGCCGGGCAGCGGGCTGCCCATGTAGTAGTCGGCAGTCACGATCCGCACTGAGAACATGTTTGTTGGCCGCCGCCGAGGCACCAGCACAGCACCGAGCGAGCGAGCGCGGAGCGAGCGCGGAGCCCGCACGGCTCCCCCCGCCCGCCGCCGCCGCCGCCGCCGCCGCCGCAGCGAGCGCGCGCGCGAGCGCAGCACTCCCCGCGCCTGCCGTTCCTCGCCCGCCCGCGGGAGCGCGCGCAGCCCCGCGCGCGCCTTGTCTGTGTCTCTGCTCCCCCCGCCCGACGCCGCCGCTCTGGGCGCGTGCGCGGCGGCGCGCCCCCCCGCGCGCTCCTACAGCCCGTGCGGCCGCGCGCCCCTCAGGGACAGCGCGGGCTCGTGCCCCGCGGACGCCCCGGCGGCGACGGCGGCGCCCCGGCCCCGGGCTGCAGCTGCTGTTGCCATGATGATGTCGTCACGGATGCAACCACTGGGAGGATGGGGACGGGGGCGGACGGGCCATGTGTTGGGGGGGAAAGGGGCTCAACGAGCGGAGGAGGTGTCCGTCACTCCCGACACGCACGCGCGCTCCCCCGCTCCCACCTTTCGGTTGGGCTCGGCAGGCTGGGCGGGAGCGCGCGTGGGAGCGGGGGAAAAAATCTTTGTATCGCCTCCCCTGGTGGCGAGGGACGAGGCAGGGAGGGAGAGAGGGACGGCCTCGGTGATTCGGCGATCGGCCGCGCGGGCTGGGGGTGAGGCTGCGGAATCCCGAGCCGCGGATGGGGCGGGAGAGGCAGCGCTGCCGGAACACGACGGGGTTAAGCTGGGTCGACCGCCATTTTGAATGGCGGGGAGGTGAGTCTCCCCACGCCGCAAGGGCCAGCCAAAAAGAAAAAAAAACACCCTAAGAAGATGAGGGCGAGGACGGGGACGGGACCGGGAGGAGGGGATGGGGCGCCCGCGCGCCCTCGGGCTGTGAGGGTGAGCGCGCCGCGCGGAGGGGGCGGGGCCGGGGCTGCGGAGGGCCGGCGGCGATTGGCGGCGGGGCCGGGCGCGCGGAGGGGGCGGGGCCGGGGCTGCGGAGGGCCGGCGGCGATTGGCGGCGGGGCCGGGCGCGCGGAGGGGGCGGGGCCGGGGCTGCGGAGGGCCGGCGGCGATTGGCGGCGGGGCCGGGCGCGCGGAGGGGGCGGGCGGGGCCGGGCGCGCTGCGGCGGAGCGGCGGGGGCGGGGTCGCGTCCCGCGTCCCCGCGGGCGGCTCGGCCCCGCAGCGGCCGCGTCCCCCCCTCGCTCCTGCTGCCTCCTCCTCCTCCTCCTCCGCCCTTTATGAGCGCTTACTTTGCGGTTTGCAGCGCTCTCGTGCAGGTTTTTATTGAAAACCATAAAACAGGATTGACTTTAGGCTGAGGCGCTGAAAAAACCTTGTGTTTAGGTTTAAGGTTCCTGTTGCAATCTCTTTGTCTGAGAGCTGCAGATCCGGGGGTAAAAACCCCCAAACATAGCAAATATCCAAAGAGTTTGTGGAGTGGGAGATGAGCCAGTTAAAAGGCCAAATGCTCTCAAACGCGCTCAGAGTGATGCTGATACATGTGCGTGCAGGACTGGATGATATGAGACAAATGTGCAAATCTATAAAACCTGACAAACGTCCAATATGTAGAACACGTGTTTTGCATTTGCTTACATGTGTTTCGGGTTTAGATTTGAACAAAAGACAGGTCAGGCAGTTGCTACCCTTCATTTTTTCATTGTAATGAACAGGAAGCTTGCCTGTCTACTCAAGGGTAACTGGTTTCCTACTCTTTCTTTGTAAGCTGTTTATTTTCTCTAGCTCACATCTGTTTTCCTCCTTAAACTCATTTTTATGTGAACAGAAAAAGAAAATCCAACTGCCTAGTGATCAAGAAATCTTGTGGTAGAGAAGTGGTTAAAATAGGGTTAAAATCCAAATTATTTTCATTGTATCTAAAGAATAACTGAGCTACAGCTTCAATTTTTGACAATGGTTTACATCTGCAAAGCTAATATTTGGAAAACCTTTGGAACTGCAAAAATACTCTTATGAATACTTAGATTTCACAAAGGCTGATAAATCACTAGGAGCTTACTGGTGGGGCATGTTAACAAACAGCATCTCTAACTGTTGTTATTTCAATACATTTTGTACTGCTCCCTCACTAATCCAGTTCCTTAATTTTCTGTAGAACTTTGGTAGCGACAGTAACAGTTCTTGTGTTACTCCATTCCATGCTCTGTTTTCTTTCTGTTCACATGATCTTCTTAACTTGCTGAGCAATGTGTCTTCCCACCACTGTGCATTTCACTGACAGGTTAATATCTTTGAACACTGGCAGATGTGGTCTGATGTCTGCATGAGCTGAAGGTAGATCAGCAGTCCTCCTCTGTGCTGGGGGGTACCAGTCCACTGCTGTATTTTGTTGTCATCTGCACAGGCAGGAGAACATGATGTTGTATCTGTCCCTACTGGGCTGGTGGATAAACCAAAACATTTGCCACCGGTGGATTCTGGTTTCTCCTAAATGAGTGTGGTGTGTGAGATGTAGCACAAGTTCATACCTGGGAGTCCTGCTGAAGAGAAACAGTTGCCCACAGTAAAACAGTGTAGACAGCTGAGATAACTAACTTCTTGGAAGCATAAAGCAGGATTTGCTAAAGCATGTAATGCAGAGTCTTCTATTTAAAATTACAACATTTTTTATGTTGTTTATTAAATCTGGGAGAACCGTGTTTTGAAATCAGAAAGAAAAATTGATCCCTAACCTAGAGCCAGTTTCTTGTTCATATGAGGTATTAATTTGATTTCTGAAAATGTTGAATGTTACTCAGAAAAAAAAAAAAAAAAGGAAGTATCCTTTTTGAAAAATATCCTTTTTGATATAAATAGTGTAATCCACGTGTACATTAGACCTGTGCAGACACTTTTGTGGAACTTGCATGCTTTCTGAGTGGTGCCTTTTCAGTTTCCCTAGTTTCCTGCAGCTCACTTCTGCTTTCAGTTTTGTCTTGCAGTCAAGTCAGTAGGTTTGTCTGCAGGGTTGCACCAAGGTAAGACTGTATTTTCAGTAAAGGTTTGAGTCAGCGCTGTCACAGGAGGTCCCCTGCCCTCCTCCTCATGTCAGTGCAAACATTTGAATAGCTGCACAAGAAACTTGACTTGGAAAAGGAGCCAGATAAAAGCAATCCCACTAAGAAATATGGGTTAGTTTTAACCTCAATCAGGTCCTTGATCTGCTTCATTATGTAGGGGTGTGAAAACCTGCGCTTGCACAGAGGAGGAGGCAGTGCAGGGACTGAGATTGAGCAGCAGAAATAAAGAGAGCACTTCTTCCAGAAAGCTTGGTTTGTGATGGTTTTAAGTTGTTGAAGTCTGAAAATTGGTTTAACCCTTTCAATAGATGACAGACACAAAATCTCTTTCTAGGTTTCCTACATTTCAATTTGTGAGTCAGTATTTCTTTTTAGGAGTTGTTTTATTTGTTGTTCACTCACACATGTGTTATGCATATATGATATACAAATTTTCTTATAGTTTACACTTCATTACCTGAAAATGCTGCTTGCCTAGGGTGTCAGTAATTGTAAAAGGAAACATCCTTGTAAACAGCACTACCACTAATTTTCTCTGGTACCTCCAAACACTGTATGTTCTCTCTCTTAAGGTTTCAAGCCATTTTCTGTTATAAAGCAAGTCACCCCCTTTCTCTGTTCCTCTAGTTGCTAAGCAGCAGCTGTTCTCCCCATTAGCCAGCCAAGTATTTGCATGAAAATAATCACTCTTGAATATATAACTGGTTCTAATCATGCACAGCTAAACAGCTGTACAATCAAAATTTGAGTATTAATAGTATTATTTATCAGCATAACTGATGGCTGTCTTTTAAGTCATAATTTCTCCATAGAGTAAAATCAATAAAGGTTTGCCCTGTTTTCTAAAACAAAAGACATGTCAGTTTTTATTTTTGTTTAATGCCTACTTTGTAGCTACTTAAAAAAACTGGTCACAAAATGATATCTGCAGTTCACAAAAAATTATAAATGCAAATATAAATAGACACATGTAGTGACTACACATGATGGAGGCCAAGGGAAAATCCACATTTTCAAGTATCTATTTTATAGTAGCCGAGTGCAACAAAATTTGATGATAAGAGTTTAGACTATACACAAAGGTAAAATTTCCAGCAGTACATCTTAACTTCAAAACCCACTTTGTCAGTCATGTTTGAGTTCCTGTTGATTTCAAGGATGTTCAGTGTTTCTGAGGTCTGTGATCTAAAATCTTGGAGTCAGGGGCCTCTCAGTCAGGGGATTTATCCAAGCTGTTATTTCAGAATGAGAGCTGAGTTGGGCTCATGTTCTTGGGTGCTGTTTTTGCAGGTGACATAAACACAGTTTCTGCAGGGAGAAAACCTGGACACATGGATAAAGAGTGATATGTGATCTATCCAGTTGGTATCCCGGCCTAGACAGTCAGACTGTTTGCATTACACAGGAAGGTTATTTTCCAGTGTGGCCCCACTGCCTAAGTGAATGAAGAAGATCTAAATCTTCGTGCTGAAATATGTGGTGCTGTGCTGTATAGTTCTGCCCTGCCAGATGCGTACTTGTTTTGTCATGTGTGACAGTCCATAGTCTTTTTAGACTCTGAGGCTCTGTACGCACCCAGTGCAAGAAATCCTCATTTCAGGGTTCTGACAAGCCTTGCTTACACTCCAGGTAGTTAAACCCACTAAAGCCAAAATGTGAAGCAATACCATGCATGTGCATCAGACCAACTGAAAGTCAGTTACTCTCTGGATATTACTGGATATAAATCTAAAGACAGTGTATGAACAGCAAGGAATTAAGCAACCTGTGAATACCAAACTGCCTCAAAGTGGCTCTTAGGCTCCTGAATTAATTTGTAGGGGTAACAGTATTTTGGAAAGAATGCTTAAGATCCTAATTAATGACATGTATTTGTTTGTTTTAATTCTCAGTTACTAGCTACAGGCTAGGCAGTAGGCTCTGAGGTGTAGTCAGTGGGATTACTATCAGTGTTTTGTCCCTGGAAACCTGATGAGACAATGAAACTAGACTAAAAGAGACCTTCAAGATCAGCCAGTCCAACTGTCATCCAAGCACCAGCATAATCAGATTTAATCTGTGTTTCATATAAAGATTCAGTATAGTGTAATATGAGAAAAAAGGAAGATGCATAGCATAAAGAATCACTGATGAGAAGTTCTGGTGGATTGTTTTGAGAGAAGGACTATAAAACTGGAAGTTGGGTCCAGGTGGAGTCTACCCATTTAATGCCTTTAATAGAGTCCTAGTTAGCATATAAATAGAAGTTGCTAATAACCTTAAATTTGAAGGAGACAGATAAGATCTAAAACTTTGGAGTTAAGAAAGAAGAAAAAAATATTTAAGCCAAAGAACACTCTCAATGTAGAATGACTAGACATAAACTGGAAATGAACTTTCCATGAAAGAAAGTTTCTATCCAATGGACAGATGGATTTCTTCTCTCAGTGAAAGCAGCAGGACAGAGCATATTTGTAAATTTTACTATGGAGATTGATGAGATAATGGAAAAGGTTATATGATGTTTGCTGGTTATTGCACATGACTGCACCTGATTATCAAAATTCTAGAAGGACTGCATGTATATCCCTGAACATTTTAATAAAGGGTTCCTCTAATCAATGCAGACACTTTCGCCATTAGGATAAATGAGTTCTCATCATCATTGTACAAAACCCATTGTGTACCATGAAGATGGTACAGCTTTCTGTTTCAAAAAATCTGGACAGCAGTGTAAAAGACAACCCTTCCAACATATGTTGTGGCCTTATGTATATGTTCCTATCTGTAAATGAGTTGTATGTACAAACTCATATACATAATCTTTATATGAAAATGCAAACTACCTTTGACCATTTTTGTTTCCTGTTTCCATTTAGCAATTTATATATCAAATGGTTTTCATTGAAAGTTATGCTTTTCTTTGGTTTTTTTTAATATTTTTTTCTAATATTTTCAGGTCTTGCTGTTGCCCTGTATAAGAAAACCCTACTGCTGAATGTGCCTACAGGAAAATGCATAAGTATTCAAGAAAATTATATAAATTTAAGCATAAAACTTAATAAAGAAATAATGTGTAATAATGTAGGACTATGCCACTTTTTTAAAAAATTGAGAAAGTGTAGTTAATTGAGAAGCAGCATATGCATTATGTAAGAAAAGGCCCAGTAAACACTTAATTGTAAAGATGAGATTTCTGATCTGCTCTTAGCTGACAGAATTCTATATGTCAAGAAGTGATTGTGGTTCCCTTCCATGCTTGGAAAATGACCTATTGTCAAGACTGAAATAATTACAGGATTGCATAAGGAATTCACTTTAGTGTAACAAGAGCACACATTGTTGAGAAGCAGTTAACAGTATAGCATTAAGTGGTATTTAGAGATTGCATCTATGACAGTGAGAATTTCATAGATGAAATTTAATTAAGATGAACTGATTAAGTCTTAGATAATTGAGGGATAGTGCTAGAGTTGTTTGCATTGCTGAACCAGCGTAATTTAAAGACCTTTTGCCTATTGCTTTGCACTAATGACTGTATAAGTGGGGAATGGACTCAAAAGAGAAAACAGTGTGTAATGACATATAACATTTGAGCATTACTACTATTCTGGGAAATGGTATGTTCAACAGAGTTACTGGCAAGTAGTGGAGTATACAAAGAAAAGTGGTTGAACATTTGAATAACTTTTAAAAAAATCAAAGTAATAGGTTTATTTTTACAGGAAGAGCTACCAATCCCTCCGTACTCTGAAATTTCTGTTCCACACAATGCAGCTCAGGTAGATGATTGTAAGAATTGCTTTTAAACAGGCAAGTGAAACATAATTTTTAATATTCTAGTTTTTATGAATAGCTGAAGCATTTAGTTGAAAGTCTCCATTGAGAAATATGTCTGGTGTGAAAACCGTTAGCTCAAATGGTTCAAATAATAAGTAATTAGAAGGATGTCATAATGGAAAATTTTCAAGTACTATAACTGCCAAAAGCCCTATCATTCTTCTATAACTTCTGTAGCCAAATACACATGAGAATGTGGTTATTATTTGAATTTTTGTTGTTTTAAAATGGGAAATGGGTTTCTGTGAATGAATCACAGAAATGGGGCTGGATGGTAAGGAGTGAAAGCCATTTAATTTTAGATGCTCCATTTTTTTCTGCCATGTAGTCTGACTTATGGGAGGCATTCCTCGTTCATGCATCAGACAAAGTGAAAGAAGCCCCAGCACATATGTAGATCACAAACAGCCATCTGTTATTCAGAAGGAAAGAGGAATGTTGCTATAAGAGTAAACTTAAAATGTTTTAAGATTAACTTAGAGATGGCAGAGCTCCATTAAATATTTTGTCCATCTCTGTTGGTCGCTGTCATATATGAATGTATACATTATACTGAAGCTTCAGATGCCTGCTATATTTTTTTCTGTTAGGACAATTACCTCTAGTTTAGAACTCAGTATATGCTTTCTCTGAGTTCCTAAATAAGTATATATATAAGCTTTTATCACCTCAAATAATTATTTTTCCTTTTGGGGTTTATTCCTTTGAAGTAATTTTCCTGATCAAACTGAATGTTAAGAAAAAAGCATTTTGAACTTTTTACTTGCTTAGCTTAAGCTAAGTAAAGTAACATTTGTTTAGGCTTGTAACATTTCCTTTTGATTCTTTCCAGCTCCTAAAGAATTTTTATTATTTTTATGTGAATTCCATCCAATTTGCATAGATCTTTCTTGTAATATGCCTAGAACACATTTGTGATTTCCAGACATGGTTGTAAAGAGTGTGGATGAAGCATTTATATTTTATGTCCGGGCTACTGTATGACCTCCATTTGTAGGGCAGAATTAATTACTTGGGAGTATTGATGTTTGGTCCACCACCAGGTTTGAAGGACTGTGTTGGCTGTCCACAAATAAAGTGCTGCACAGTCTGCTTACAGCTATGTTAGACAAACCATTACCTTCCTGCTCCAGGATACACTGCTTCCAAGTATGCCACCCAAATCTAAATTAGTCTCTTTGTTGGTACTCTTACAAATCTATTTGTAGTTTCTACTTGCTTGTTATCCTTAGATCCTTTACAAATATGATACCTCTGAATATGATGCCATCCCACTGAACATATTCCAGAATCTGTTCCAGAATATTTCTCTCAGTCTTTTCCATAGCAGTAGCTTGCTTTTTCTTGTAGTCAGTTTAATTTTACAGTTTTCTGTCTGCATTTTAGCCTTACCAATTTATGTTGAAGTATCTCAGTGTCCTCAAAGTTGCCCACATTGTAGCCTCTTGTGGATTAATGAAGTTGTCAAATAAAACAAGGCCTCACAATGGTTCCTGTGGCACCACAGCTATAGATAAATTACTTCTTTTCTATATTATTATTATATTATTTTAATATTGAGATATTCTTCTTATTATTACTATGACAGTCTGAAGACCCCATTAGCACACAGATCTACCTGGACAATTTGAACTTTGCAAATAAAATTAATTTTCCTACCAGTGTATTGATCATTTTATGTCTCAAAACATGAGGGAAGGTACCACTGGATATGCAAAATGGGGAAAATTTATAGAGTAGATCTGCTAATCTAATGCTATGTACTAACTGAAATTAGGACAGATTGAAGGGCAGGGCACTGATTCCATTTCCAGATTTTGGGGAGGAAAATCATGTATGCTGTTTATGAACACGTAGTCGCATAGAGAAATGGGCCATGGCCTCTCTGGGAGCTGTGCAGTTAAGTGACTGGGATATGGTGCATGTTTCCTGCTGTGTCTTGAATAATCTTGCAGCTGTTTTACTTAGAAAATCAGTAACACTTGTTTTTGTCCAAAAGCAGGAACTTGATGACTTGGCTAATAAGATGAAACAACACTGCCCCCAAAATCTGTGAAGTACCAAGTATTATTTCATATTCGAGCCTCTTCACACACTCCACCTCCACCTTCCTTTCCATGTGCTACTTTATATCCTATTTTATGGAGACAGTATTTTGTCCTGTTTTTCTGAGGACAGGATTGAGGCTTTTTACCTGTTTCATTTTTAATCTCTAATAATTAACTGATGTGTTTTCATTAGGACAGTGGTCTTTTGAAAAAAAAAAAAAAGAAAAAGGTGAGTGAAATTACTAATACACAGGGGAAATAGGAAATTATTATGCCATAAAAATAACTTTGAAAAAGTCTCACATTGTTCAGAGAGGGAAGAGAACCTTCTAAGAAGTGATCACATTCTCCAACTCAGCTTTAGACACATTCTTTACCTTTAAAAGGAAACAGAAGATAATCAGTCAGTAAATCAAGTGTAGTTGTGGGCATGTCTGCAAAGCTGTAGCAACAGTCTGAATAAGGCATTAGGGCTGGACATTTGAAACAAGAATTGTCAGTGCCAAGGTCTCTTGTGCTTTGAGGATAATGGGTATGTCTTTCATTAAACAATACCTTTTCTCCATACCCTGATTTTTTTTTCTTGATCATTGTCTAAAGATAGCAGCTATGGTGGCTATTCTGGGTAGATTTTTAGGTACACATTAAAAATCAGACTGTATTTTTGTGCTGTAATGAATAAGCTTTTAAATGCATTCTAAGTTTTTTTTTTTTCAATATCTATTTGTTTGAAGAGGAAATTTGATTTCTTATGAAAAATGTCCACCTTTACTTAGTTGCTGTTTGAGGGGAAAAAAGTATGTTTAAAGACCACGTGTTTTAGCTGCCACTGTTTTTTGTGATCAAGCTTTCAATACCAGTAATCTGAGTTTCCCCTCTCTTGTTCCAGCCAAGGTTACTAGTCAGTTCCCTAGTTTCCCTTTATTCTTACTGGCACAGAATTGCTTTTTTTTTTAAAGTACTTCAGAAATTACTTCTTTTAAACAAAGGAATCTACAGCATTCAAGCTTATCCTGACTAGCTTTAATCTTTTATCACAATTTGAAGTATTAGCATTTTTTTAATTAAATAGTTCAGTTAGAAGTAAATTCTACTCAGATAAAGGGAAAATACAGCAGTTGTTGCCAAAGGGATAAAGTCCATTACCTGGAAACATAAACAGCTTTATTTCTTGTGTCCTGAAAGAAAATGAGATGAACGAGCCTGTTACAGGCACAACTTTTCAGTAAATACTGTATTGATGTTAGCATAATAAATATGTTCTTAAGAACCCGAAACTTTTAAAGTTTATTTTAATTTAATAATTTATAAAATTATAACACTGCTACTTCCAAGGCTTAAAAATTCAATTTTTTTGGTGTGAACTGTAGCATTAGAGTAGAATTCATAATTTCCTCCTTTCGATCCTTTTTAATGTTATATTGCAACTATACTGGGAAATTAAAAAAGGCTGCTGAGACCACTGCATCACCCTGCCTTCCAGTGGTGTTCCTGACCACTGTGGGAATGCTGCTTTGGATGGCTCTTGCTCTTATGGTCCTAAACTGCCCCCCAGCACACTGGCCAGGTGACAAACAAGCAGGTGTTCAGGTTTGTTCCTTGGGACCATTTTAATAAATCAGTTTTTTTAAGTGTGCCAATTTGCCAAATTCAGAAAAAGACCTTTAGCGTTATTCAGTTTCATTGATTGATTTCTTTTCCATGTGTTTCAAACAGAACCACAGAATGGTTTGTCTTAGAAGGCACTGCAAACATCATCTAGTTCCAAGCCTTCAGCCAAGGGCAGGGACACCTTCCACTAGGCCAGCATGCTCAAACACCCATCCAGCCTGGCCTTGAAATGCATTAATAACTTTCCATAACATCCAAATAAGTAAGTAATAAAGGACCCCTGCCTAAAGGTCCTTTGTCCCTGCACACTGTACTGTGTATGTAAAGTATCTAATTATTGTTCAATGAAAAAAAACATCAGCAGGTCTAGGAAATTAAATTTCCTTATTATTTTTGTCCTCTAAGTCTTCTAGTCATCAGCAATGATTGGCAAAAATCCCAAACTGGAGGTAAGAGATGCTTTATGTGCAACTACCTGCTGATTGAAGAATTCTCCTCATAGTGTGCCAGGCCTGTGAGACAGGAGAGGTTGGCTTGGTGTCCTTCAAATAGAAAGCCTAGAATCTAGTCTGCTGTTCCCTCTT